GTTCCTCTTCATTTCCCACAGTGTATCTAGCAGGTAAATTCCACAAAGGTGGAGTTTGTGTTACCTCTGTTGACTGTTGTATTCCCAAATCAAACAACTTTTGAATGAATAAATGAATAAATCAGTATCCCAAGGCTCAGATGTTTGGATCTCATCTCTATCTAAATTCACTCCTCTAATGATGTCACTCATCTCATAATTTTAAATAAATATCACCTATAAGCTCAAAATAACCAAATTTTTCACTCTTCCTAGACATTTTCCCTGAACTGGTTTCTCCCCAAATGTGTTCCACCAACCGACAGTCTCCATTTCAGTTATCCGCAACTTCATTCTTCTAGTTGCCCAGGCCAAAATTCTTCATTGTTCCATTTTGCATACATTCCATATCCAATCACCAGCAAACGCTACAAGTCTACCCTCAAAATACATCCAAAATCCAACCACTTCACACCATTTCATCCTCCTATCACCTCGGTCAGAGCTACTCTCACCCACAAGAGCTCAGCATAATCTCCTGACCAGTGTCCTTGCTTCTTTCTTGAATCCCTGCTCAAAGTTCTCATAAAGTAGCCAGAGCGATTCATTTAAAACCCAAGTCAGAATATATCAGTCCTCTACTAAAAACTCCACAGTGGCTCCCCTAGTAAAACTTGGAGGCCTTACAATGGTTTATAAGCTCCTATATCCCCAACCCCCACATTCCCTTTCCTTCTCCTTTGCTTTCTCTCATCAATGTCTAACATAATATGCAATTTATTCATGTATTTAATTATTTTATCAGTTGTCTCATCAACTAGGATAAAAGCTCCATGAGCACACAGGTTTTGGTCTACTTTCTTCACTGCTATAATGCCAGCATCTAGAATACTTGGTATATGACAGCTGAGCAAAGTGGCTCATGCCTGTAATCTCAGCACTTTGGGAGATTGATGCAGGAGGATCACTTTAACCCAGGAGTTTGAGACCAGCCTGGACAACACAACAAGACCTGGACTCTACCAAAAAAAAAATAAAATTAAAAAAATAGAATATTTTGTACATAATATGTGCTCAATATATACTTATTAAGTAAATGTATGGTGTTCAGAATAAAACTTGAATAGATGTTAGTGAACCAGCTAATCATGTGCCAGACCATTCTAAATACATGAATTAACTCATTTAACCATCCTAAGGGGTTAGGTATTACCATTATTATTCCCATTTTGCAGATGAAGAAACTAAGGCACAGATTAAGGCTGAGAAATTAAGGTTAAGCAGTTTGCCTTAGTCATACAATGGCAAAGCCAAGATTGGAACTCAGGCACTCTGACTCCAGAGCCTATACTCTCAAGACATTGAAAGACCTGAAGAGACAGAGAATTAAATTACATTACACATACCCTGCATATTAAGTTTATTTTATTACATTATATGTCTCTGAAAATTGATTATATACTGATTATTTGATTAACCAAAATACTTTATTCCCTGATCTTTTGCCATCAATGTTTCTGATATAATATGTGCAAAATGCACATTTAACAGCTTTCATACCACTTCTAAAAGCATAAACACAGCATAAAATAGAGCAATGGTTTCTCTGGGAACCGGCACTTTTTTTTTTTTTTTTTTGAGATGGGGTCTTGCTATGTTGTCCAGGCTAGCCTCAAACTCCTGGGCTCAAGCAATCCTCCTGCCTCAGCCTCCCGAGTAGCTGGGACTACAGGCATGCACCACCATACCCAGCTAATTTTTTCTATATATATTAGTTGGCCAATTAATTTCTATTTATAGTGGAGACGGGGTCTCGCTCTTGCTCAGGCTGGTTTCGAACTCCTGACCTTGAGTGATCCTCCAGCCTCGGCCTCCCAGAGTGCTAGAATTACAGGCGTGAGCCACCGCGCCTGGCCTGGAACCTACACTTTTAAGTTTCCAGTATTAATGTTGACTTAAAAGACCAGTATACTTATCTATGACTTTAGTAATGAACACATCCATAGACTCAACAAGCATATCAGAATAATTAGCATGCAATATTTCTTGAAAAATAAAATATAGGGATTTTTTTTGAGGAACAAGAAATTCTAAACAGAAATAGCTTACTTCTACCTTAGACTTCCCCCAAATTATATGATTTCATTCCTACAAGAAGAATCACATCTCACTGTTAGCCATGCAAATGTCATTTTAGGAGTACATACACAAAGAGTTTCATCCAGTATCTTAGTTCACATTTGTCCCAATTAATTAAATCAAAGTATAATTTAAAAACTGAAACTAGGTATGTGTCAATTTTAAGTTTTCCTTCTAATTAATCCAAAATCAAAAGGTTTATTGTACCAACCTTTAATTCAATCTGAATACAGTTAACTATTTTATTTATAATTATAAATTGGACCACACAGTTTCTCACTTAATAGCTATTATATCTTCTGTTTCCTATAAGTCTCTACAAGTAGAAGTATTTGCTAGACCATAATCTGTTCATTAAGTAGACATGTAAAAAAAAAAAAAAAGGCAATGATCTGCAACTTCTGAAACTCTCATCTGTATATTTTCTCTTGGTTACAGGAAAGCACTTCTCTGGCTATTTTCCCAAATAAACTGGTAAGCCTTGGGATAGTCACTGCTTAAATTCCACTTCATCGTGGTTTCTCTCCCTCCATAAGTCCATCACAGGACTTGTTTTCTGAACAAATAGCTTACATGACAATGATAGGTAAGGTCAGTGAATATTGTAATCTAATAGGGAGCAGGAATCTAGAAAAGAAGACTCTGATTTACTGTGCTAAGTTGTGAAACACTGATGTGAAGAACACTGAACAGGCCAGGCATGGTGGCTCACGCCTGTAATCCTAGCACTCTGGGAGGCCAAGGCAGGTGGATTGCTCAAGGTCAGGAGTTTGAAACCAGCCTGAGCAAGAGCCAGACCCCATCTATACTAAAAATAGAAAGAAATGAATTGGCCAACTAATATATATAGAAAAAATTAACCGGGCAAAGCGCATGCCTGTAGTCCCAGCTACTCAGGAGGCTGAGGCAGCAGGATTGCTTGAGCCCAGGAGTCTGAGGTGCTGTGAGTTAGGCCGATGCCACGGCATTCACTCTAGCCTGGGAAACAAAGTGAGACTCTGTCTCAAAAAAAAAAACACTGAACACACACTGTTTACTCTTAGTAACATTTCTCTACAAATGAGACAAGTGCTCCCAAAATGTTTTAAAAGCACTTGACTCCAAAAATAATTCTCAGAAGTTGAGGGGCCTACCTAAAAATAAAAAATAAATTCCACTTCATTTCTAGAACGTTTAATAAAAACTGCAATATATCTGCAATTAAGAAAAATAATCTCCAATAATTCAGTGTTGAACACAAAATGTCTAAATGTCAAGGTCTACTGAATAAAGAGCCGCAAAAGACAGGTGTGCTTTAAAATATTTAAGCACTTTTTATATAATTAGCTCCAACATAACTGTTCAAATTGTTCATTCACTCAAATCAGTCAACCACAACCACCTGCAACTATTACTTAGAAATGTGTCTTCCAAAAGAACCATCTGAGTCTCAGGCCTTCTCTCAAGGGGCCAGGAGAAAGCCTGCAAAAAACGTGGTATAAAAAGATCTTTTAAGAACAGAAAAAAAAACGAAAGACACCACCTTTAAGGTACTAAATGTAATGCAACCTATACCCTAATGGTTGCCGCCACAATGAAGTTCTCTAAACCCAAGATCTCCCTCTTCTTGGGTGTAAAACTTCAGATCCATCCACGCTCACAATTTACCTCAGCCAAAGTAAAAGGATTCTCTTCCCTCTCCCATCCGCCACCCACCCCGCTGAGAAGAAAAGGAATCAAAACCATAAAGCAGAGATGTGAGATCTAGTGCTATGGGTTCTCCAACTGCCTCAAAGGCAACATCTACAGCTCATCTTCCTTTCGAAATACAACCCTTCATCTTCTATCTCACCATTTCACCAAAAAAAAAAAGAAAAAGAAAAAAAAAATCTTCAATATTTTGCATCAGTCACCTAAACCCACAGATTCGCCCCAACCACACCCAACCTCGTGGCTCCCCAGTTTCTCCGTCTTCCCACTACCTCGCCCCAACATCACGCCTCCTAAACCTCCCACCTTCCGTTCTCCGAGTGCCCTGAGCCCCTATCTCCCACCTCCCGCCCGCGTCCCCCACGACTGCCGCGCTAGCCCCGCCCAATCCCGGAGCTCGGCTGGGTGGCCCCGGGTGGGCTGGGGTGGGGTCCGCCCCTCCCCCGACTTCTCCACCCCAGGTCGGCGAGGAGGGGGAGGGGGTCCCGAAGCCTCACCTACAGCTCCGCCCCTCCCCGGGGGCGTTCTGCCCTGCCCAGCCAGGGCCGTGAGCTAGAAGTCGGGCGAGAGGCGAAAGCCCCCGCGTCAGCGACAGGCGGGAAGCTCCAGGTCCCACCCGACTCCCGCGCTGCCGCCGCCGCGGCCGTCGCACTCTCCTCAGAGCTGCCGCTGTCGCCCCCGCCGCCGCTACCACTGCCGCTGCCGCCACAGCCACAGCCCGGCGGGCGCCCGCTACGTCACCGCACCCCGCCCCCTGCGCGAGACACCTAGCCCCGCCCATCCCCGCCGCCGGCCCGCCCAGCTCCGCCCGCCGCCTCGCCGTCGCTCGCCCTTCTCTGGGCGCGGCGGTGCGGCCCTGCGGGCGCTGGTGCTACGGCCCAGAAAGTGGGGGCGACTCGGCGCCGCGACGGCAGGTCGGCGCCAAGCAGAGCCACGGGCGCGGAGCGTACCCACGTACCTACACACACCCACGACCCTGCGGCCTCGCAGGGGAGAGCCGCGGCCGGCTGTGCGAGACGCGGTAGGTGCGAGCAGGGGAGAGGCGGCGCTTGTCTCCTCCTGCTTGCCGTAGGAGTGGGCTGCTGGAAGTCGAAGGGAGTCGTGTCTCTCCCGAACGGTGGAGTCGCCCCACCCCCCCCTCGCGGGCCCGTTACCCGGCCCAGACGGCCACCGCCGTGGGGCGCAGCTCTGACCTTCTCCCTGGATTCCTGGCTGCACTGGGCACCCTTGGTCCAAGGGGCTGGATTTCCCCCGTGCCCGCTTAGCTTTTGCGGAAGGTGGTAATGGGATCTGAGGCACCGGGCATCGCGGAGACCCACGCCAGTGCACGTCCTTTTCCTGTGGTGATTTTCCCAAGAGAGGAGAACGTGGCTGGCGGAAATAAATGCCCACGCTCCGTCCCTGCGCTGTGCTAAATACTGTGCGACGGTGGCGGTTTTATTTAGCCCTCACGACAGCTAGGAGAGGCTTTTCCAAAGTAGTGCCAGATTTCAGGCAACCCAGTTTTCCTACACTGAATCGCAGATGGTTTTCTTTTGTCGGAGCCATGCGCAGAGGGTAACTACAGCCATTAATTTAAGGATGTAGATAAGCTGTCTCTAAACCAAGAAAATAAGAATGGTATGAATTATATTTATTCCCAGCCTTCCAGTGGTTATTAAAATAATTTAAATGTCTTTGAGAGGAGTGAAGAGTCATCATTTTACCTCCGACCACTGTAATTAACCAGTTTATACTCGCTCATAATACCCACGAACATTTTCCCTCCCCTCCTCAGTAGACGCATCCATTACTCACCAACTTCTGTTTCATCCTGCCCAGGCCCTCTAATTGTCCCCTCCCAGCGTCGCCATACACTTGGATCATCGCCCTTTCTGGACCTGCTGCACTGTCCCCTTCAGTGCTTCCAACACATGACTGCCAACTGTTAGACAGTGTGCTGCCAGACAGGCATTACGAAGTATTTCATTTCTTGAACATCGGCTATTTACCCAGAAAAAGCCATCCTGTCACTAATTTTCAAGACATTTCTTATCTGACTCCTGACCTGATAACTCCCCAGGAGTGTAGTAAGGTAAAAGAAACATAAACTGGGAGTCAGTATATCTTTCTGTTCTCCATTCTGCCACTCTCTACTTGTGTAACCTCAGGCAAATCACTTTACTTCTGGGTCCTACATAACTGTAAAATGGATTTGAACTAGGTGTCTGAGATCCATCATATCCCTAAAATATGTGGATCTGGAGGGTTAAGAGGTCAGGCACTAAGTTATACACAGGAATATTGTGACACAGATTCAGATTTTTTTTTTTTTTTTTGCCACTGCACTTGTTGTTTTTTCTTGTTTCCTACCCTGCCCTAGATATCTTTTGTTAAACCTACATTTAGGATTTTTTACTAAAGCTTGCTGAGTACATGCATTTATTGCCTCCTCTTTCTGAGACCTCATAAGATGATGATAAAGGAATAAAAAACATTTTTTAAAACCCTATACAAAATAGAAAATAAGAAACAGACAGTTGGAAGATTAATTTTTTTTAATTTGACATGCACCAAAGTGTGGTCTGACTAAACCAAATGGAAGAAACCATAATGTAGAATGGGTGCAGTGGATGCTGCAGAAAGGAAGGGGGCCTGTCTACCCAGAAGTGCTTTAGAGAGACTAAGATTTGGAGACACACACAAGACGAAGGGTAAGAGTGAGAAGAAGGGCTGAAAACAGGGAGACTAAATAAAGGTCTGTATATGGAATGAAACAGCAGAATCCTCTCTATCTCAGATACAATAACTAGGCATTTATCTCAGGCTAAAAATCAAGTGTTCTCATAACCTCTGGGGAGAATTTGGGCAGCTGTTATGAGTGTTGAATGCCTAAAAATAAAGCATTCTTTATGCTAGCACAATAGCTGGTTTCCTTCCCACTCAAAAAGTAAAGTTGAGCAAGTTGGCAAGACCCTCCTGGTGGGTTTGGATGTCAAAATTTGAGCACCAGTAGTAGAAAGGTGTTGTAAGGTGGGTCCTGGAGGGAGGTGATTAGGGAATGGGGGAGGATCCTTCATGAATTCCTCGGTGCTGTTCTTACAGCAGTATATATATTTGTGCTCTCACAAGACTGGGTTAGTCCTCAGGGGAATAGATTAGTTCCATCAAGAGTGGTTTGTTATAAAGCCAGGTTGTCCCTTGGGTTTAGTCTCTCTTCACATGTGCATGCCTCCCCTTGACCTACACCATGGTTTGGTGCAGCACAAAGCCCCTCACCAGCAGCTGAGCAGATACTGGTGCTATGTTTCTTGTACAGCCTGCAGAACAGTGAGCCCTTTTCTTTATAAATTACCTAGCATCAGGTATTCCTTTCTAGCAACACGAAATGGACTGCGATACCTCCCATGTTCACAAGACTCCTCATCAGCATTCCAACTGCCTCATCTTAAATATGAACAGAAAACTAGGATTATTAGATATTTAAGGGAAGTCTCTGACATGGGAGAAAGATAAACAGAAAATGTAACCATAAAGGAAACAGAAATTTCAGAGAACTTAGAAAACAACAACAAAAAAAACTAATTATTAATAGTATACTAACACATTCAGATGAATTAACAATCCAAGAATAAAAAGTAGATGTTGAGCCAGGCACAGTGTCATGTACCTGTAGTCCTAGCTATTCGGGAGGCTGAGGTGGGAGGATTGCTTGAGCCCAGTAGTTCTGGGCTATAGTGTCCTATGCTGTTCGGGTGTCCACACTAAATTCAGGATCGGTATGGTGACCTTCCTGGAGTGGGGGACCACCAGGTTGTCCAAAGGTGGGTGAACCAGCCGAGATCAGAAACACAGTTAAAACTCCCATCCTGATCAGTAGTAGGAGCACACCTGTGAATAACCACTGTACTTCAGCCTGGCCAATTACCAAGACACTCTCTCTTAAATAAATAAATTCTTTAAAATAGGTCTTGAAATTAAGAATAATAAGAAATTGTCAAAATTATAAATTCAATTGAAGTGTTGAAAGATAAAGTCCACAAACTTTTAAAGAGAATAGAAGAAATATACCAAGAGATGGAAATTATGAGAGAAAATATAAGAATCCAACAATACTAACATTACACAAGAATGAGAAAATGAAGTAAATGAAGGACAGAAAATTACCCCAAAAATAATAGAAGAAAATTTCCCAGAGCTGAAAGTATCCACTAGTAGAGAACAAAAATAAAGTAAAACCTTTGTTTTTCAACCTTGTGAAATATTAGAACTCTAAAGATAAAGAGAAGATTCTAAATTTCCAAAGAGAAAAAAAAAGTGACTCTTAAAAGAACAAGAAACAAACTGGCATTACAATTCTGGCTGTGCCCCGATGTGGTGGCTCACATGTGGGCTGGTAAGCCCAGCACTTTGGGAGGCTGAGGGGAGAGGATCAGTTGAGGATAGGAGTTCAAAACCAGCCTGGGCAGCATGCAGGGAGACCTTTTCTCTACAAAAAATTTAAAAAATTGAAAAACAGAAGTCTTACCAGAAACACTAGATACGTGAAGAAAACAGACGAAAGCCTGCAAATTTATGAGGGAAAATATTTTGAATTTCAAGTTATAAAAAATTTTTTTTCAGGCCGGGTGCGGTGGCTCACGCCTGTAATCCTAGCTCTCTGGAAGGCCAAGGCGGGTTGATTGCTCGAGGTCAGGAGTTCAAAACCAGCCTGAGCAAGAGCGAGACCCCGTCTCTACTATAAATAGTAAGAAATTAATTGGCCAACTAATTTATATAGAAAAAATTAGCTGGGCATGGTGGCGCATACCTGTAGTCCCAGCTACTCGGGAGGCTGAGGCAGGAGGATTGCTTGAGCCCAGGAGTTTGAGGTTGCTGTGAGCTAGGCTTGACGCCACGGCACTCACTCTAGCCTGGGCAACAAAGTGAGATTCTGTCTCAAAAAAAAAAAAATTTTTTTTTTCATGAAAACCTCCATTCCTCATCTAGCTAAGTTATCATTAGGTTAAAAAGCAGAATGAAAACAGTTGAAATATGAAGGGTTAAGAAGGTAACCTCCAACATGGATATTTTTTAAAAAGCTACTTAAGGATATGCTCAAGCAAAATAGGGAGAAAACAGGGTATCTGACTACATCATGTCCAGTAATCAATAGGTCCAATTCAAGAGACTGTAAAGGGAAGTCCCAAGAGCCAGGCTACGTTGGTATGGAAGGAGAGGAGTTCTGGGAGAAAAATCTGGAAAAGAGAGAATTCAAAGGGGATAATTAATAACTACAATAGAAAGCTTAGGAAATCCTGCTTTGGAGGGTTTCAACTTTTAGACCCAACCTGTTAATAAACTATAATCTTGGCCGGGCGTGGTGGCTCACGCCTGTAATCCTAGCTCTCTGGAAGGCCAAGGCGGGTTGATTGCTCGAGGTCAGGAGTTCAAAACCAGCCTGAGCAAGAGCGAGACCCCGTCTCTACTATAAATAGTAAGAAATTAATTGGCCAACTAATATATAGAGAAAAAATTAGCCAGGAATGGTGGTGCATGCCTGTAGTCCCAGCTACTCGGGAGGCTGAGGCAGGAGGATTGCTTGAGCCCAGGATTTCGAGATTGCTGTGAGCCAGGCTGACGCCACGGCACTCTGGCCCAGGCAACAGAGTGAGATTCTGTCTCAAAAAAAAAAAAAAAAGTGATAAACTTGGATATTTAGCTGAGGAGATTTCTTTGTTTTTGTTTTTTGTTTTTTTTTTTGAGGCAGAGTCTCACTTTGTTGCCCAGGCCAGAGTGCCGTGGCGTCAGCCTAGCTCACAGCAACCTCAGGCTCCTGGGCTCAAGAAATCCTCCTGGCTCCCGAGTAGCTGGGACTACAGGCATGTGCCACCATGCCCAGCTAATTTATTCTATATATTTTTAGTTGACCAACTAATTTCTCTCTATTTTTAGTAGAGACAGGGTCTTCCTCTTGCTCCGGCTGGTTTTGAACTCCTGACCTTGAGCGATCCTCCCGCCTCAGCCTCCCAGAGTGCTAGGATTACAGGCATGAGCCATCTCGCCCAGCCTAGCTGAGGAGATTTCTAAGCAAAGTGTTGAAGGTGTGGCCTAGTTTCTTCTAATTGCTTTAGTAAAATGTGGGAAAAGAAAGAAATCGAAGCAATTGATAAACAGAAAAGAACTAGAACTTAAAGATTTAAAAAATTCCCAGCCTATCCATATTGCTAAGTGCAAATAAAGCATGTGCGCTCTGGAGTGTGTCTGGAAAATAATTTAATAGAGATCATAGGTGCAATTTACAGATTTATTCACCTATCATAGCAGAAGCCAGGAGTAGAGATAGGATTATACCAGCAGAAACACTGCCAGCTTGGACCAAAAGGACAAAGATGGGGCAGAATGAAGGATGTTTGTTAGACATCTGGGAGTCTAAAGGATAGGGCACTAGAGTGGCATTGGTGGTATAGTGGTGAGCATTGCTGCCTTCCAAGGATAGGGCAACAGAGCTATCTGGCTATGAATATACATTATCCCTCAAGAAAAGGGAAGAATGACCTCAAGGTGACTCAGATATTGACAGGGCTGATATTCCCAGCACAGGCCAGAGGATACAGGTCTGGGGAGCTAGGATACCTCCTCCTCAGTTCCAGAGGTCCAAGCTGCTGCCCAAGACTGAAGGAA